AAAATCTACCTTACATATCTTTCGATCACATTACTTACTGAACAAATAGGTCGATCCAAAAAATAAATATTGCGAAAATTAGTGTCACGTGAATCACTCACTCAAATCCTTATTACCCCTTTGAACGCTAGGAGTGCCATAATCATAGCGACGACTTCCTGATCAAAAAATTTCTGACCTCAAGATTCCTTACCTGGAACTGGATCCAGGTCACATAGATTCCATATGTCAACTTTGGCTGGGAGGCAGTATCTCAAAAGCTAGAGCTATTTCCTTTTGTGAGTTTTGGTGTGGGCGACGGGTTGCGTATTCTCAAATCCTTAATTTTTGTTCAAAGGCATATATCTTTCTACCTCAGAAAGGCGAGTCGCTTCGCCTACATCAAAGATGAAGCTAATATGTTTACATTTCTTCGACATTTTCATTGTTTTTTCTCTTTCATCTAGCTAATGTCTTTCAGCGTGCTTTGGTTTTTCAATTTTCTTAATATTTCGGGGGTTTCTCTTTTGATACCATCTTGGGATATACAAATTTTCTATTGCGTTTTTAACTTCTATTTTACTTTTGGATGGAAGACAAGTTTTGGACGGGGAGTGGAGATATGACACCAAATGATTACGAACAGATGAGATAAGAACTTGAATGAGAGACGAAAGGGATGGACGGTATTGGATAGGCAGGGAAATGGATGGCGCATCATTTCTTGTTTTACATCTTTATGGCATGAAACGGTGTTGAGATTTTTTATGATGAGGCATTACTTACATCCTTTTATTCTTAGCTGTGGTTCTTTTTTTGTCCGTCAATGTTATAGAATGTTTATAGGACTGCGACTATTCTGTATTTGTTTCTAGCTCGTCTCCTTTGTTGCAGATGCGCGGTATAGCAATACACGTGAAAGTTTGAGGGATCAGGTTGAGTGGAAGATTGGATAGGGAGGAAATGAGAGGAAAGCAAGCAGTTGGCAACGGAAGAGTTTTGTATTCTTTTTGGAGGATGAGGGGCGAATATTATCAGGTACTTGGTAGTATTATGAGAGAGTGAGAAGATCAAGATGCGGGAAGTGGGAAGTGGAGTGCAACGAAACGGAGTACAGTAGTAGCTTTCACACGAATAAAATATCTTTACATCTTAGAAAATACGTTATTGTTCAACCTCTCTGCAACGCATTTTTGAAGGCCGTGTGTTACATGTACACCAGGCGAAGTGGTACGCGCTCCATGCAATTAAAATTCAGACTCGATCTTCATGCCAAGTGAAAACGGATATGCATATACATACGCATGACTCGGTCACCTTCGGAATATATCGATGTGTTCTCGACTCGCTCTAAAAATGTGAATACCCGCAATAGCGCAGTAGTACAGAATTTTCACAAACGTGTAGATCATGTATGTATGTGTGCATGCATGTATATGTGCATGGGTGAAGGCAACTGGAGGGGAAGGGGGTTGGGGGTTGGGGGGGAGAAAGATGTGGATTTGTATGGATGGATGAGTGAGTTGTGTTGTGTTGTTGTGTTGTGAATGTCTTTTTTTTTGTACTCGGTGAGGTGGGTGGGCTAGGCGCCTACTGGGTGCGGGTGAGGGTTGCTGGGCGGGCTGTGTAATCGTTTACATGTTGATGATCATGTGGGTAGTCATGTGAGGGGTGGGTGAGGGGTTGGATGGGTGGATGAGGATGAGGAAGAGGATGGTTTGTGATTTGTGATTTGTAATGATGATGATGATATGAGGGGTTTTGAAGTTGCTGTTAGTGGTGGGTTGGTTGATTAGTGCGCTGGAATGAGTTTCTGGTTGGATTTTAGGGTTAGATTGGGTTGGGTTGAGAGTGGTGATCTTCAGTATTTGAGGTTGGGCTTGGGTTTGTTTATCTTTGGGGGCTGGGTGGCGGGACGGGGGTTGAATTTGGGATGTTGAGATTTTGAGATTTTGGGACGGGAGAAGAAATGGAAGTAGTTTGAGTGTAGCGGATTAGCTGCTTACTTGAATGCAATTGTATTAATCTTGAGCATTTCAAGGAGTAAGGAGGGAGTACTTGGCTATTAAAATTTGGTGGCGGGGTAAACTCACCGGGAAGTTTGAGAATAGGATAGGTACAGACGAGGGAGGGGTTGTGTACTATCTCGACCACCAAAAGTAGTAAATCGATTGATTTTTAGGGGTATACTTACTAATTGGGCTTTGATCAAACATCTATTTTTATAGTATTATATGTATTGTGTACGAATTTCATATATTTTCAAACTTTTCAACGGTTGAGAATATATCTGCTTTTCTTGATGTGTCTCGATGTGAACTTTTACACTTGTGAGATTACAGCCGGGGAAAAATGCAAATCGAATAAGTTTTTCTGATCATGAATCTGATTTTTGCAAATGGAATACATTTCTTAGGGACTGGAATTTTAGTGGATGCGGAAATATTTTACAACTCAGAGTGTTGTTTTTCAGAGTATAACTGGGAAATTGGAGAATTGGGCACTCACCGGGAGCGGTTGAATTTCTTGACTTGTTTATATGAGTTTTCTGGACTATATGCGAGCTGATGTGATGAGTACATGGTTTCATTGTGTCAATTTGTATGCAATGGATATTTTCAAAGTTTTGAGGGACCTAATCAGTGACTATGATGTGAGTTTGAGCGATACTCTGACAAGTATTAAAGTATTCAAGGGGAATGAACGATAATCAGGATGCATTTCGCGATTTGGAAAATGAAATCGACATAGGTGAGTAGGTTCTTGTTTCGGTTTGCTATTTGAAGACATTTATTACACAGTACAGGAGGTATTCGGTAGAGTTGATCTCCTCGCTTTTGCGTAACTTTATCCTAGGAGTCTACAATAATATCTAATTGCGAAACTCAATTTGTCACATGTGATGGTGTAAATCTTCCATCTTTTGTTTCAAGAAGAGGCCTATCATCACATCATCGGGCTCATGCATTATGTCTTCAAAGTCTCAATTTATCTAGGGCTAGAAATCTCAACATTCAGTTCGCAAGCTCTATAGTACTAGTTGTTGTGACAAGCAGCGTATCGTATCTTGATCTACTTATGTATCGGACAATAAGAGGACGGTGATAGTATTTCGATTTCATAATCAAATATATATTTATGAGGAATTATGTAGTATGAATTATCTACTTCACGAAAAGAAGTAGCACTCAACCCAAAACCTCCCTAAAGCTCATGGGGCATACTTATATTCCCGCGCAAGCATATAAACCTATTCTTAGTGTTCTTGGTTAATTAATAATTCTAGGCGCGGCATCACGTTTCCCTCGACACACGTTGAAGCGAGTATAGACTCGATATCAATATCACTGTACACATCGCGGAGGTAGGATCTGATCCAGACACATTAGCGAGCAGTGAATCCGTTGATTATAGCTCAAGAGGTTATTATCTAGTATGATAGACAGCTAACCCAGCTTCCGACGACCTTTATAAGTCAAGAATCAAAGCATATTCACTGGCTATCCGAGGAGCACACATAGCTTGAAGATTTTGGGATGGTAGTCAATTTTTCGAAGATTTGAAGAATGAAGTGATATTTGGCACCTGGTTTTAGCAATCAAAATTCAACTATCGGATCAAAGGTGGTATAGGTAGATTGGACATAGTAAAAATGTCAATCTCGAGGACGGCTAAAATCTTGTCTGGAGCCAACAACCATAGATTTTTTTCTGAGATATGCAACAAAACTTTTCCGACCTCGTCTTCTTGACTGTGAGTCTTTCTGTAACAATATTTAACCCTCATAACTCACTGCTTGTACGAAGAAAACCATTACCCGAATTTTTATTCGAGGCATGCAACGAAATTCTTGTTAATGGTATTACTGGATGCTCTTTTCCAAAGGGTTGATTTGTAGCAGCCCAAGAGTGGAGGAATATCGCACAGCAGGATAAAGATGACGGGAAGTTTGCCAGAAGCAAGAGTAGATATAATTCCTGCTAAAAATCACTACACTTGTAGTAGCTGTTGGGAATGTAGATGCCGTATTTTAGGAAGATTGAGGATGCATGATGCTAGTCAAAACACCGATGGCCTTCTTTTCGAATTCGAATAAATTTAAGAGTAATCAGGTAGGATCAAACCAATCATCAAACTTATTGAGAATCTGCAATTTTAAGAGAGACGGAATCGGCGATATACTTGTGACCGGGATTTAGATGTAGCATATAAATATCTCGACTATTTCATCGTAAGAGACACGTAGAGCACCCCGTTTGCCCATGAGTCGTCAAGATTTGACTTGAAGATTCAGAGAGCTAGAGAGGAGAGCCGGAGGAGATCAATCGCTAAACCTGTTGACTCAACTTACATTTTTGTGGACGCTATGTTCAGGCGCAGTCAGGTGATGAAGCGAGGGGGTAGTGAGCGGGTAAGGTACGAGAAGCAGCCAGAAGGAATAAAGAGGGAAAATGGAAGGTAGTAAGCATCATTTATGTGCTATATTTGGCTTGATGGTGGGGGACGGGGGTGGGCTGAAGGCTAAGGCTCTTTATGAGATTTATTTTGCATTGCAATATAATAGCTTGATCGTTGCTGCTTACCATACTGACCACCCAGGATGTGAGTAAGTGTACCTAGGTAACGTAAAAGTGCCATAACAAGTAAATTGACATGGGGTACTTAGACGAAGTTCGTTGCAAGATAATAGCAAGGGATCTGAGCCCTGGTTATAACGATTCACTACTTTGGATTGAAGCAAGACATTCACCGAACTGTACTAGAGACGGATATCCAGAAATACGTTTCTCAATGCGTGGTTGCATTTGATAATTGGAACTGTTTTAGAGTAAATTATGGGGAAGATTCTAAGTCGTTGCGGCAAAACCTTTCGAATGAGTGTTGTGGGGTAGGAGGGGTAGGAAAGTAAGAGATACCAAAGAAAGGAAACTTTTGGGTAATGCCTGGACGTCATGGGAACTGGGACAAATAAATGAGTGGGGAAAAGACGGCACAATCAGTTTCAACTGCGCACTTGCAAATTAATGCTCAAGAAATATCTGGACTGAATTCTCGAGAAATTTGGATTGTGATTGTAGGTTGCGAACTGCTGAAATCGAATTGTGAGATCCGAAAGAGGGCCATTGAAACTTATCAGGTTCTGGAATAGTGACGAAAAGCAAAACTCCTCCACCCATGTCCATATCCACCATATCGAATGCCAGAGATCGTATAATATCCTCGATGTCGCTTGTATTAATTTGTCGGTATGAAGGCACCTCCATATTCACATCACAATTGACCCAACATTCTCCAAGTATTCTCATGATCGGCAACTGAGATTTTGTCAAAATGTACATTTTATTCACGTTTGCAACGTGGAAAGCAAGCTTCATAAACATTTTTTAATGGAGATGCTGCATTCCTAGCTCATGATGCGACTAGACCATGTAAATAAACCCCATTCCGACCCGATGACGCTGAAGAATTGTTCAAAATCCTGTGATAAATGTTAGCTCGCCCACTTCTTCGCACAAAACTTTCCGAGAAAAAAACATACTGAGAGGAGTGAAGAACCATCTGTTCTTTCCTGATGTGTATCTCTCCTCCAAAGCCTTCTTGACGGTCTTCTTGGCCTCCTCACGTTGAGAAACCTCCTTGAAGGTATCTGCGGAAACGACACCCTTCAATCCCTCCAACTCAAGAGTGTAACGTGTTGGCATCAAGTGGTTGTAGTTGATGACCTTGATGAAAGGCTTGACCTTGCTGCGCTTGGTTTGCTTGGCCTTGGACATACGGCGAGTGATTTGGGATGGGTAACGCTCGATACCGGCGACCAATGCGTGAGGGTATGGGTGGGACTTGTTGCCGGCATCCTGGGGTTGGATGATCACGACCTGTAATTTTTCCTCCATCAGCAGATATTCCTTACAACTCCAATTCGGGTAGTCCATTTGTCGTCGCTCTGTGATTCATAAAATTGCTCGATTGAATTCGTAGTTTCGTAGTAAATGGTAAATAAATGGTGAAGAGTGAAAATTTACCTTCTTTCCGGCATATCTGCCTCTGGTGATGATGGCAACACGGCCGGTCTTGAGGACTATAAGTTCAAATTAGAATCTTCGTAATCTCGCGATCTATCATTCCGGAGTAAACGTACACTTCATGTCGACTGTGGTTAGTTGTCGAAGGGTTTGTCGTAGTCGTAGTTAATTCGAGGTTATTCAGAATTCTTTTCCTAAAATCTAGCTCGGTGCGAAAGAGCCCTCGCTTATCATACACGTGATGGTGGCGCTAAAAAGATGTGGCTGGTCAGAAAAAAAAGATGTGGCTATCGAGTAAGAGCGCAAGGAGGATTTGATTGGCTATCAATTGTCCGTTCAAATTTCATCTTATGGATTGATTCGCGCTAATCAATTTATCCTAAAACTGTCTGTGCTTAATGGTTGCCCCGCTGCGTCCCCAGCCAGCTCACGAAAAGTAAATAAACAGTTCTTGACCGCTGTGTTTTACTTTATGGATTCCTTTCAAACTTCTTAATGAAAAAAGCAGAGACACTCTATGCTCAGTCGATACCCAATGCCACTTGGCGATTACAATTAATACAATCATAACCCCCTTGCCTTTTTGCATAATTTGGGGTTTATTCCCACATCTTCTTCACATCAACAAGTCACTCCATCGTATTTGGATTTTGTATCGCGAAGTTCCTCGAGTACATACATACTACTGGATCTTCTCCACAATATCAACATTCCACATAAACACATTCCGGGGATTTATCCTCCGCAATGCCTTCTTCAGAGAGAGAATCTTCTCGCGATGGCGATAGACTTGCTCTTGTACATAGAAATTCCGCGCATTCCATATCCTCATCAATAGATTCTGGACGAGCAATTGTTCCAATGTAAGCTTTTATTCATCTCGTCTGTAGGTCAACATAATTCTGACTGTGATTTTACAGGTGGGATAGTTCTGATCCAGAACGCGCACCTCCTCCACTTCCCATGAACCCCTCATCCCCGAGTGTCTCATCACGAGGAACTTCGGCTGCTATCAAGTCTGCACATGCGGCGCTTACTGAAAGAGCTCGCGACAATACTTATTTCATCAACATACCACCCCCAAAACGCCTCACAGAACCATCTCCTGAACGTTTACTGATCAAGGGTACTGCTCCCGGTCACAAACGAATGCAATCTCTGCAAAATGGTAGCGTTAGAGATTTGAGTAGTTTTATTGAAAGTGGAACTTTCGGTCCATTGAAACCTCCAGAGAAAATAACAGCAAGACCTCCTACACCACACGCCAGCAAGGATTTCTCATTCGACCAGTCACCAGAGAAGTTTTCCGACAAGATGTCGGATAGAGATTCGGTTCGAGCCACTACACCTACGAAAAGAGCCGAGTCGCCTCGGGAAAGACGCGACTCTATGCATGTACGACCTTCACTGCGCCGGCCACCCCATGGTGGGTTTGGCGAAAACACGCCTCCTCAATCAGCCACGATGCAGGCTCTTCACAACATGACGACCAAGGAGACGGATCCACCTCTTGCCAATGTCACCAATGGCTCTACTGCTTTAGTGCGACAACCTCAAACGTTCGATGCCATATCAAATCAAATTCTCAGTCTCACCAGTATATGTACCAGCCTTCAGAGAGAAATGGCGCAATTGAGTAGAAGAAGTAAAGATAACGCCACGGATCTAGTCAGTCTAAAGGAAGCGACAAATGCCAGGGATGAGGACATACGTAAGAGTCTCCGAGAATTGGTGACTGGCTTGTCTGATGCTGGCTCCGAGCGTACATTATATGGAGGCAACAATCTTTACGCAGATAGCAAAGGACACGCTTCACCATCCTCATCACGAAATTCGAAAGGGTTTTCGCTTCCTCGAATCCCTAGCCCAAACAGCTTCGCTGCTTCATTGGATCGAGAAACCTTATTATCCACCCCACTTACGAGAGATCACGGCCGAGAACATATTAGCGACGCTGCTGCGCATGCTGCTAGTGTGGCTCTGCTCGAAAAGGTACTGCGAGAGATGGGCACTAAGGAAGGACAGGAGCTGTTAATATCTCGACTTACGGAAATCGCCGAGCAGCTTGGCCGAGAAGGCATGTCGACAGCCAAAAAACTAGAGGACTTGGTGGAATTCATCAAGAAAAACACTGAAATTTCTCAAGCTCTAATTGCCCGTCACAACAACAACCGCGAACAAGAGACAAGGGGACGTAAATATAGCTTTGAAGAAGATTCGCCGAGATTGGAACTGGATTTCGATAGGCCGGCTTCTGTCGCACAGAAACTAGAGGCTCTTGTCGCTACTGGAGCAAATAGAGACAGGCGCAAGTCGCAAGGACCTAATCGATCAGGTGAAGTATTAGGTGATGATGTCATCCAAGTTATACGAAGTGTCAAGGATAGCGTCGCTCAAGGAGGTGGCCTTACTGCGGAAGTCAAGGCGCTAGTTCGAGAACTTCGTGGTGAGGTTTTGGGTATGGGGCGAGAGATCGGAAGAAAATTAGATCAAGCCAGCAAGGATGGAGCTTCCAATGGCGCTGATGTCAGTATTGTCGTTCAAAATGGTCTGGAGGAATTGAAAGAGCATATGAATCAACTCATCCGTGAAAGTCGTCGACAAAACTCCGCTTCCGCTTCTACACAAAAGATCGACTACAAAGAAGTCTATAACGTGGTACGCTCAGCGGTAACTGAAAAATCCGAATCAAAAGAAGATATTATCGATGCAGTTCGAGAAGCTTGGGAAAATTACAAACCGGATATCGAATTGCAGCATTTTGGTCTCGAGCGAGAGGAACTATTAGCATGCTTGAAGGAGGGAATTCAAGAGTTCGCGCCTCAGAATGAACCGGGAGCAACGCGAGAGGAAGTCTTTGCCGCAGTTATTGAAGGATTGAAGCATTTCACTCCACCGCCAGTTGATAACGAATCTCTCTCCCGAGACGAAATTCTCGATGCCGTTCGTGAGTGCCTCGAGGAGTTTGAGTTTCCAGCTGCACCAATGCCAGAGCCTCGCGAACCTGAAATCACCAGAGACGATATGCTTGATGCCGTGGCAGAAGGTCTTAGAACTTTCGACTTTTCTGCAAACCCTACGGCACTCAGTGCAGAGGTTCTTCAAGGTTTCACTCAAACTGAAATGATTCAAGCCGTTAGAGAGGGTCTTAAAGAATTCGACTTTGCTGCTCTCAATCGTGGTCATGATGACATCACAAGAGACGATATGGTGATTGCTATTCGAGAAGGGCTCCAAACATTTGGACTTGCGAACCAAAGTCGTGAAGTGGATGGAGGTGTTACTCGAGATGATGTGGTAGGCGCAGTTACCGAAAGCCTACACACGTTTGATTTTCCCGGTAGTATTCATCCACCACATCATGACGAGGAGGCCATCACTCGCGACGACATGTTTGAAGCTGTAAGAGCAGGTCTTGAAAGCTTCGAATTTCCCACTTTGAGCAGAGAGGTCGGAGATAGTATTAGCCGAGAAGACGTTTTCGATGCCGTGAAAGAGAGTCTCCACAATTTCAACTTTGGCGCATTAATACCAGCCTCTGATCCCGAGGAAAAAGAAACAGGAATTTCTCGGGAGGATGTTTTCGAGGCTGTTAAAGATGGCCTGCAAACATTTGATTCCGCTCTCACACGCGAGGTTGGTGGAAATACTGGCATTAATCGCGGCGACATCCTTGACGCTGTGAAAGAGGGACTTCATACTTTTGATTCAGCTCTTACTAGGGACATTAATGGAAGCGGCAATCTTACACGCAACGATGTAATGGATGCTGTCAAGGATGTTTTGACCACTTTCGATTCTGCTCTTATTCGAGGAAACGCCGAAACTGGAGCAACCCGCGAAGAAATTGTCGATGCAATGCAGGAAGTCATGACCAAATTCCATGGTTCATCCATAGCTCAAGGTCCAAGCCAAGGAATTACTCGCGATGATGTTGTAGATGCTGTGCAAGAGGTCCTAGAAGGGTTCAACTCTGCTCTAACCAAAAATGTCGGAGGTTCTGCAACTCGTGCTGAAGTTTTCGAGGCTATCAAAGTTGGTCTTGAATCACATGAATCTAGTGGTAGCATAACTCGGAATGACGTCCATGAAGTTATCAAAGAGAATCTTCAGAGTTACCACATCGAAAGTGCCCTTACCCGGGACGAAGTTGTGGAGGCCGTCCAAGAAGTATTGACGGCGTTCGATTCTGCATTAACCAAAGACGCTTCTTCAACAGTTACACGAGACGATGTCCTTGGGGCTGTGAAAGAAGGACTTCAAGCGCAGACATCTAGTATCACACGCGATGAAGTTCTCCAAGCCATAAAGGACGGCCTTCAATCGAAAGAAATTGCATCAACCCGCGAGGATGTCGA